AGTGAAATCATCGATTTTGTTTAATTTCCATGGAGCAGTTAAAAATATTTTGGATACCACCCCAACCACCCATATGGCATCCGAAAACTGATTATAAATGAAACACGGCCTCAATTGTCTATTGTTCACTGCTTATCTAAAAAAAAAGAGACAGCTACACATTAATACTTGGAGTCACATAGCACATGAAAACACTCTCTGTGGTAATAGCTTGTAAGGCTTTTCAGCAATCTCTTATTTAAAAAAGATAACAAAGCATTAGGAAGTCTACCTTTGCCAATGGATGCATCAGCTCAATTTTACTCTGGTTTGCTTGAATTTGCATAATCTACCTCCAAAAGGTCAGACTATTTTAAATAATTCTCCAAAGGACGTCTGTTGATTCAGATTCTGAATCACTACACCTGAAGTCATAGTTGATTGCCCTTCCATGGATCGAGTAGGTTTGCATAATGAAACTATTGCCAATTCACTTTATTCAGTTACACCAACATAGGATCAGTCATGTGTCCTGGTGAAGCACAAGACAAACCTATTCTTACTTGCAATCATGCAACATAGGATAGGCTCCAGCCTGTAATTTTTCTAAACTTGAACAGATACAATCATTTGAGTTGAACCATCAAAGGTACGCAAATGAAGTAATGACAGATAAACCTAGCAAGATAGATTATCCTAGCACACTAAATTATGAAAGTTCAAAGTGACATATGGTGCATCCAAATTTCATTTATAACTACTGGAATACAAGATATTGTGCTTTGTCAGCACTCAGCAACACCTTGCAATTGTAAATTCAAATATGCTACCAACTTTAACACTGAGACCCTCAGAGTCTAATGTTCAACAAGAGAAAAAATTCTGAATATTCACCTGAAGAACCTTACCTGCACCCTTTTGTCCCTCCCGAAAATGATACAGACACAATAGGTACAGGTGTGATCTTCGGCTCCTGGATTTTCAAAAGAGACATATGGCAACAGGTGATGATTGCAACAGCCAATTAGACACGTATGAACATTCATCCAAAATGGAAAGCAAACCAAGCAGATTGAATGGGAGTTGATCAAGATATGGTTCAGTTTAACTGACCTCAGCTCCATAAACACAACTGGGTTGCTTCATAATTACTGACGAAGATGTAGGAGAAAAGTTGACAAAAATCAAAGACGGCGCTTCGACGGGATCATAATCTATTCTTGGTGGAATATCTGGAAAGAGAGGAATAGGCGAACTTTCCAACAAAAAAGTTTGAACCCAAGACAAGTCGCAAGTTTGTGCAAAGATGATATAAGTCAATTTCTTTGGCGACGGCTCCAATTCATAATACGGCGAACTAGCAGCAAACATCTTCTCCAGTTGGGCCAGGGTTCTTGTTTTCGGAGTATCCCTAGTCTCAGTCTTTTTACCTGTTTTCTTTCGTGCAGTTGTTTTTTCTGCCGTTTTGCTAGTTTCCGTTTTGATTAGCAGGGGACACTGGGTGTAAATAGAGAATTGCATTTGCTCTTTTTTTATATCGTCTAATAAAATCTGCGGCAAAGCTTTTGCCGCTCTTTCAAAAAAAGATTGAAATCACAATGCAGTGAGGATAATCCAGCAGGCTCCTCCATGCCACGACCGGGAACTTGAAATCACAATGCAATTGCAGGCCATTTCGAATTAAATTGTCACATCGATTTAAAGCTGTAGTTGATTAGCATACCAAAAACTTGATGGCTTTGACGATGGCCTGGAGTAGTGGCAGGGAGATGCCGGTAAAGTTCTTGCCTGGGTCGTTGCGGGCAGGGATGGCTAGCTTGGAGGGATATGAGGAACCATTCGTCGATATCCCCTACTCCCAATTTGGATCCCATACCATGCAATGTTTTACCACCTGCAGAGTAGAAAATTGATTCACACTGTATTGTGGGCACACTAAAAGATACACATCATAATTAACACAACTTTTTTTCATCATTTTTTGACCATATAATAAGAGAAACCGACTTTGCTAAAACAATAACTGCAATTTGAGGACACCATTTTCTAAGAATTTTTTTTATCTACATAACTTTAACAAGTAGATAAGAGCATATAATTTGACACACTTTAGAAGCTCTACTAAGGCATGACATATTGGCATGAGCATGAGAGGAAAGTAGGAAAGCATTGCGATATCCTACTTCTCAGTGACCACCACTGTAAATTGTTCATATGCACCTTGCTTTTCTAATGCCTTTTCAAAAACACATGATATCAGAGTCCTGCCGTAGCTCTACAAATATACACCTAACACCTAAATTTTCTCAGTTTGACATTGTTTAGTTCTAACTACTAATGCTAAACTACTGAAAATAGAGAGAATTCATTCATGCATCTGCAAAGTTCCCATTTAATATATATAGGTAGGATTCATCCACTAATTATGTGCAGAGAATAGCTCTTTTATCTATTGCAAGGAAAGCCTGGCAAACTGTAGCAGGGCAAAGCATATCGAGCAATTCAACCAAAAAGAAGTGACATATGAAAAGGCCTTCTTGATTTGGAAGGGCAAGTTAACTCCCATACTGGTTGGCTGCTAGATGGATCGGAAGATGCAAGCACTGACCTAGGCATGTGGTGTTGTCAGATTTGCTAAAGTAACGCAAGGCTCGGGTGGATTTGTGGAGGAGGCGGTCCACGTACCTAAACATGCCTTTCTTGGCCAGCACTGAATGCTCTTGTCCTCTTTTTTGCCATTCCGATCACTGTCGCTGCCACTTCTAGCCGACGTGTCCATGAAGCTCGACAACAAATGGTTCTCAGAACAACACAAACAAATCACCATCAAAGCCGCAATCAACACGGATCAAAACCAAAAACCAATGAGAACTAGAAAAGGCACGCGGCGTTGCCGCGCTGGCCAGTATGAGACCATTTTACAGTAATAGATTTAACTAATTGATAATTTATTTGAAAAGAACTTGGGTACAAGTATTGGTTTGCTTGTTGTATTTCCGGAAAAGGCCAATGTTAGGGGAAATGGTCATTCCAATAGATTGCAGCTGATTATATATTGTATGCAGCAGTTCCTAGTATTGAACTCTGATTGACCAAATTATTCAAGAATGGGAGCATGTAACAAAGATGCAGCAGAGCAAGTATTATTTCAATTATTTAAATTTACAAACTGAGCTATGCGCACCTGGTTAGGTTCGGTGAACTTGTTGCACCAGGTTTCGTTAACTATGCTTGTTTTTTTGCGCTATATTACTATAATTGATAGAATGTTATTTCATACGTGGGGTAATATTTAGGTGTAGGTGAACGTGTGTGTTTGTGTGTGTGTGTATTATGATCGTAAAGCCGGTAAAATCACTCAATCATTTTATTTTATGCATGGTATGGGTAAGCTACTGTAAAAATTTCATAGCAATTTGAATAAAGAAACTAACTCTATTAATTATTTATAGAAAACTTTAGAGAAATCTATATTCACATTAATAGCAAAAAAAATACACTAAACACATGTGATGTTATGTGTTTACAGTGCAGTGCTAGTTGTGTAGAGTTCAACAAACTTGGTTTGGCATTTTTTTATTTTTATTTGTTTTATTATGTTCTTTACAAAATTTTAACCATTTTAGATAAATAATAAATTCGCAAGAAAATAGAAAAACGTCGTCGGGCCGAATTCGGTCCACTAAGGCCCAGGTCCGGTGATATACAGGCCCGAGCGGGAGGCAGGCCGGCCCATTTAAAAGGCCTGGATTGCTGGTTGATTTTGGTAAAGTTCGAGGGCTTTTTTGAAAAAAAAAACCCTGAGAGGAGGCCTTGACAGTGGGTTGATTAGACTAAAGTTTGATGTTTGTTTGCAAAAAGACCGAGGTTCGCACGATCTGGGCCGTCCACCCGGCCGATCCGATGGCCGGGAAAAGCGGGTGACTTGGCCACGCTGCCTGGCCTTCTTTTGGTGCAGGATTCGTAGTAAAGAGATGGGGAAGAGACGGTCAAATCTAATCGTACCTAGAGTCGAGAGTCGCAACTGCTGGATCAATGTGGGTCGTTCCAAATCTCGGACTCCAGGCAGCGACGGTGCCAGCCATCGTCCGTCACGCGTTGAGGCCATCGCGGCACCCGCCCCCTTGGCCACCGTGTCTCCAGGCGACGGCACGCCCCTGGGCCGCCCGCGCGCTGAGGCCACAGCGGCGGCGCTAACCCTTGCGTCGAGTCCCGTGCATCGAGGTGGGAGTGGGACTGCAACTTCCCCTCCGATGTAGATCCGAAGGAGGGAGGCGGGGCAGGCCGCAGGTGGAACACTCAGTCCACGATGGCGGCGGCCGTCGAGTCTACGGTCTCCTCGTCCTCCATGGCCACACCGCCGTCGCGAGCTCCTCCAGTGTGAGGCCACGTAGGGCGGGCGGCAGCAGCCGTGTCCTCCTCCACGGGCGGAGATGCGGTCGGCAGGTAGAGCGACGTATTTTTTCGAAGAAAAGAAAATAGGGTGCGGGGCATGGGAATCGAACCCCGGCTGCCCGAGAGCGTGGTGCGGTGCGTCCGCGCCCCCGAGATCACAGGCTTGGCAGAGCAACGACCCAAAGAATTTTGTCGCATCATTAGATTGTGTTAGTTCTATTCTTTTTAGTTGTATTAGGTAGCGTGCCCGTGCGTTGCTACGAAACAACTAAACTTTTGTATTAAAAATACACGGATCACAAAATAAAATAACAATACTGTGAAATTAAATACAATGTTAAAGTGATATTTAATCCAAAAGGCAAAGTTCGTAAAAATAAAACAAGATAAAATTTTAAAAAATAAACAAACGATCAAATTCATTAAAATTCACGCCTCATATATTATATAACCAAATATTTTTATCACATAATAAATGTCGCATAACGACTATGAGGCATGTTCAAGACTACGAGGCATGTTCAAGCAGCTATGAGGCCAAGAACGGATTCACAAAATGAGGCATTTTCAAGCAAGTTTTATGGCATCATGATCACTAAATCAATAAGTTACAAAAACATCCATGTTTACAATTCAGAATGTGGAGAGGCCATCGTCACAAGCTCAAGGAACTCCCCTTCAGAATTGCATTGAAGCACTTGCTCAGGGGAGAGGCCATTGATGACTCCTTCTGGAAGTTCCCTGAACCATGCCTGTCCAATTTAAATGTACAGAAGTTTTAGTTCTCTGAACCATGCTTGTTCAATTTGAATGTCCAATTTAAACATAGTTTCATGGTTGTTTCAAGCTGACAGATGTCCTACCTTAATCAGGCTGGCCAAGCAGTGAACACCAATGTCCTCAGGTACAACTCCTTTGTTCAGCTGGTCCCTCGCGTGTTCCTCTTGGTCATTCTTCGGATTAATGCGAAAGATCCCCTCAGTCTGAAATTGGAATGCAGGAAACTTCAGGGCCTACATGGTTTCACTACTTGATACATTTCTTAGGGGAAGTAAATTTACCGACACTTGCTGGTTGATAGAACAATTCTGAAACAAATGCAAACACTGACAGAAATAAAACCTAAAGCTTAATTAAAAATCATGAAAATGACTCCTTAAATATTCTAAATTCTCCAATAGTTTTCTGAAAATATCAGACCTCATTGACAGTTAAAGGATTTATAGAAAAATAACCTAAGCAAACACTAAATCTTCTGAATCCATTGTGTACTTTTGATTCAAGAGAACAAATAAGTTTTGAATTTAATGGGGTCTATCCTTTTCTGGCCTCGCCATTGCTTCATATACCAGTGCCATATGCTAAACCTTGACCAAAACTTTTTTGAACGAAACTCACAAATACAATAAAGGAGTGGTAGGAATTAGAAATACAAAGAAATGCAAATCAAACTTTTTTAGTCGAAACTCACAAATACAAATAGAATTGGTGAAGCTTTTTTAGCATACATAAGACAACTTTCTCTGCTGAACCAACCTGACCGATGCTAGCAGCAGCTAGCAGTTCATAGTCGAAACTCCTCAACTTGGAGGACCAGTCAGGAGTTAGGACCAAGCTCGGCATCAAGGACTGAATTTAGCTACTTCCTTAGTATAACATCAGCACCTTGACGAGTAATATCAAGAGCTGCCAACACCTACATTAAGTTGGCCAAAGATCAGTTTGAATACACTTGGACATCACAAGGCTATGGCAAATGAAGCATCAAATAAAAGGATGGACCAAAACTGTGGCAAATAATTTTACAAAAGAAAATAATTAGCAATCTTCATTGTCACAATCTGAACAAAGGATGTGAACCTCTGTGATAACCACGTGCTTGCGGCACTTGCTTATGATGATTGTTTGTCCAGTTAAAATGCAAATAAATTTCATTCATAAAACCAATGTCAACTATTTTAATTTTTTCATCTAATTTAACTAAATAAAAGAACCAAAATGAGTACTAATGTGCCCTGCATATTCCATCCCAAACAAGCATAAAGGAACACAGAACTGTTTGCAACCATCCAAAACTCCGAGTTTATATGCAGCTGACAGCGAAGCAGATGAGTTACCCTAGGACAGGCAAGATTTGCTTGCAGACATCAAGGAAGGGCTTGGTTAGAATGACTCTGTTCTCTGCCTTGACATGCTCCATCCCTTCTAAAGAGGGGATGAACACCGTCTCTGTCATCTATGAACCTGAAAGAATCAACAAATATATCAACCAATCATCGCAATCAGGGGCAGACCCAGTAAAGAACATAGTGTACACATGTACACCCAATAATTTTTGTAAAAAAAATCATATTCATTAGGCAAATACATATATAAACTTTAATTAGATCAGATCCGAATAGGGTTCGGGTGCTCATTGCTCGGTTTCAGACAGAAGGAAGGGAAGAGAAGGGGTGCGAATACCTGGTGGGCGTTGGCAAGCAGTATATCACAAATCCTTATATTATGAATATGCAGCACAGCCATGAGATATCCTTGAAAGGAAAGCTCAAAAACACTTTTACATGATAATAACTGTAAGCCAATGCAGAAAATTTGAGCCACATCCAAGTCCTTTGCAGCCCTGAGCTCTTGACTCTTGTGTTCTAATGGCGTAAGCCCAAGTTGTCAACCAAATAAAATCAATTTAGTTCAAATTCTATATTATTTTAGTCTGGGTAATACTTATTGTTTGACAAATATCTAAGTGACCAATGTCATAGCATCATTGGTTTAGTAATCAGTTGTTGAGTCCTTGCTAGTGTGCTGAGTATATTCTAAGGTTTGTTACCAACTTGTATTGGTCAATCACAAAGCCATTAATAGGACTCGCTTACTGGATTGGCTAACTTCAGAATAATCAAAGCAAATCACAATTACCAAAAAAACACAAAGGAAAGCACGAAATGCAGTTTAGCACCGGCTTGCTGCCACTACTTTTCTAAAATTAACTCTTTGATCCATCAGAACTTGAAACACACCTGATATAAAGTAAAAGGTTTATCAATTTTTTGTTCCATATAACATTATTATTCCATAACTTGCCATAGACACAAAACATTAGGCTTGCTACCTTAAATGTCTGTCCACAGCCACTACCCTGAAATAACCATCAACAATTACTGGCATCAGTCTGCGAGAGAAAGAAGGTTGAGCCATCTTTAGATAATATCTGAAAGTTCACTACAAAAAATTCACAAGTGCTAAAAAAGATAGGCATGTCATTGTATTTGCATAGAGTACTGTATAACCTTTTTTTATGGCTAATGACATGAATTAAGAACAAAATGAATAATGCCATGAACTCAATAGATAGCAGTCATATGGAAATTTTCTGGGCCTGTGGCGCCTTTGATAATGCCATGATAATGCCCGTGAGATTAGGGGATACCAAGAACAAATTAGTGGTTGTTCGTGGAACAAATACTAGGGGACAGATTAGTGGTTATGCGTGGAATACCAGGGGACAGATCAGTGGTTATGCGTGGAACAAAAGTTGCAAGGTGCTGATGCATTCCAATCCAAGACAGAGTATTGTTAATTCGTGGAACATATCAGAAAATATGTTTGGTTCATTCGTGTAATAGATCAAGGGAACTGATTATTGGCACACATGCTGCTGCATTCCTGATTAAAACAAGCAATAGCACACATCACCTTTGCCTAATACAGAATTGCAGTTCGATCAATTCTTTCCTGTGATGTGCTGCTGCTATGGCGATTGGCGAGTGAGACACCATCTATCTGGGCGCTGAGTCCCTAGTTGACCAGGGCGACAAGCATGGGCGTTGTTCCGTGGTGATGTGATAATACAACAGATTCCTAAAAATTAACAACATATTCCATTCAATTATAGGCTCACAGGTGACAGATCCACAATCCCTAAGCCTTTACAGTTCAATCTTCCTTTTTCTCTAATGATGTCTAAACCCTAACACTGAGAATGAGATTTGGAATTGGGGGAAAGTAGTGGAATGGAGAAGAACAAGCACTCACAAGAGGCCAGTAGGCCACAGGGCACCACGACCTGCTGGACAGGCGTCGGCCGGTGCGGTGGCGCCGATGGACGGGCGCCTTGCGGGGGCGGCCGACACCTCCTCGCTCCCATGGGGGCAGTGGCGAATGGGAGGGTGAGGGAGCAGGTGAGCCAGAGGGTGCCGCCCCGTGCGGCGCAGAGGGCGGCACGCGCGGCGGCCGGCGGCCAGAGGGAGGCATGGAGGGAGTCCCAGTGGGGAAGGGCAGCGGGGCCGTGAGTCGGCGTCGTGCGTGAAGAGGGCGTTCACGGTGCGAGGATGAGATCCTTGCTCCTCGTGTCTCCCTCGGCGGCGGCAGGCGGCGGCGGTTCCTGCGAAGGGCGCGGTGCGGATTGCGACTTCGCAAGGCCGGCGGTAGTAGCGACTTCGCGAGGGCATGGGCACGGATAGCAGGCATGCGATTGATTGACTGATTGATTCCTGCGTTGTTTGACTGATTTGTTTCCACTTTTACCAGAGGAATTGTCGCACGGGGGAGGGAGGGACGCGCGAGCGTCATCGTCGCATGGGGCAGACCGACGCCGCGCGAGGTTTCCTTCCTTTCCCGTATCGTCGCGCGACGCGGAACGCACGGACCGGGGGGGGGAGCATAGCGACGAAACAAAAGTCGCACCAAAAAGTGTCCACGCTTTGTTCTTTTAGTTGTAGGAGATATTGTAGGTGAAAAAGAAATTAGCTACGCTTGATTAACGAACAGGACGGTACACTGTACTTAGGCAGCCGATGATCGATGCTTGATGGCTGCCAGCCCCCGGTTTCCCGCTGTTCCTTCCGACCTACTATGCCAATTGCCAAAACCACGTAAAGTGCACGGGACGACGATGCACAGTTGCACACGGATAACTCGCTGCCCGCCCTACAACGACCACAGTCAATTAATTTGCTACTGTACCTGTCGTTGAGCATGCATTTGTGAACCAACTTATTTATCACTCCTACCTACAGTGGTAACCTGCTGACAGATAATAATATGCGTGTATATCATCATCTCCCGAAACTCTAGATCGTCTCGCTCAGGCAAAGCCTCCTTCAGATTCCTGCACGCCACCTGAGGCAACTCCAACTCCAACAGGATGCACGGTTTCGCTAGGAATCTCATCTCAGTGTGATTTAGTTTAATTTAATTTAATTTGCCATTCATCTCTGTGTGGCCGGCCGGCCACTGGATCAGACAAGTACAGTACGGCGCTAGGTTGGCCGATCTGGATATATAAACATATATCTGATGAGGATGGCCAATTCATTGGTTCAGATTCAGCGTCGTTCAGGTGGCGCATGCGTAGCGGCATAGCCAGGAGACATGCAAAGATGGGGGGAGATGGAAAGGCTGGCCTGGAGGCACCGGCAGACGAGACGAGAGACAGCCCTCCTTGTGGCCTTGTGGCATGTCGGGATGGACAAGAGGACATATACCATATCCACCTTTATAGTAGTGCTAGTATCTGAAGATGTCACGAGTTAATTAAGTAGAGTTAATGACCAAATCAATCAAAGTAGCAGTAGTAGCATGGTAGGGCAGGGCAGGGCAGACAGGTTGGTCAATAACACACTCAGCTAGCTGCCGCCCTATTCTGTCTATTCTTTCTTCGTATATCAGTTTTGACTTTTTGAGCCTGTTTTGACGTCAGCAGGATATTGAGTAAATGAATAGTACTCGTACTAATTAATGACACGGACACACGATGCAATGACACGTAGTACAACCTATATGCAGGCTCGCTAGCTCCCTCGATCCAGCGGCAGCGGCAAGCCGGCGGCAACGGGCACTCGGTTTATAGTTTTGGCTGTGCTCTGACTCTGATGCACCGCGATCAGGACAGGGAGGACACGACACGACACGACACCGAAAAAAAAAGGAAGAGTGGGAGCAGGCTTGATGATGATCACGGGCTAGCTTTGCAGTGCGCAAAGGGCAGGGCTTAGCTTAGGGTTATATCGACGCGGCTCGTGACGCCTGCTCTCTGTCTGCCTGGCTCTGCAGCTAGCATGCATGTTCCGTGTCGCTTTCATGGTCGGTCGGCTCCTGTGTCGCGTGCCGTCGGTCCCAGTGTCCAGCCATGCCATCCTAGCCGTAGATGCTCATGCCGTTTTTTTCTCTCTAGTCTAGAGGATGCGTGCTCGTTTCTTTTCGTTTGGTTTTTCTTCGGAGGACTCCTTTACTACCACACTGCCTTGGAACATTCGCTTGCGGATGGTGCTAATGCTCTCAAAGTAGCCCAATGCAAACGGACTGCATTGGGCCTCCAGCGGCCCATTCATCTTCTGCCGTTAGAGTCACCGCGGGAGGAACTCGACCGTCGACTGCCGGACTGAACAGATGAACAGATGAGACGCTACTTTTCCTGTGCCGTCCGATAGCGTTTCGACGATGGATACAGGCCGACATGTTACGCTGTGACTTACCAGAGGTAAGTCAAGTCTCATCCAATCTGAGTCCATTTTTTCAACCATTCGATTTGCATTGAACCAGCTAGGTCAATGTCTCTTTTTTTTATCCATACGGCCATACCACGTATACGTACTCCCTCCATCCGTCTGTGAAAAAATCAA